GCAAAGCCCCAGCCCCAGCCAGAACCAGGAGTCCTGGCTCCCAGGCCCTGCTCCCATCCAGCAGAGCCCCCTGCGCTCCCACATCTGGGGACGGCTCCTGCCAGTGCTATTGCCTGGGCGGGACGCCGCGCATGCTGGGGCGCTCTCGGAGGGGTGTCCCCTGCTCGGGAGCCGGGCGGGGGAGGGAGGGAGAGGAGTTGGCAAAGCCCCAGCCCCAGCCAGAACCAGGAGTCCTGGCTCCCAGGCCCTGCTCCCATCCAGCAGAGCCCCCTGCGCTCCCACATCTGGGGACGGCTCCTGCCAGTGCTATTGCCTGGGCGGGACGCCGCGCATGCTGGGGCGCTCTCGGAGGGGTGTCCCCTGCTCGGGAGCCGGGCGGGGGAGGGAGGGAGAGGAGTTGCCCTGTGTCAGGGAGCAGCGCGATTGCTCCCAGCTCCAGTATGTAGAGGGAGAGAAGCCTGTGGAGAGTCTCTGGCTACGTTCAGAGGGGCAGACAGGAGCCAGGATGTCTGCTACAGGCACCGGACCAGGCGGATGAGGGAGACGAGGTTTTCTTCGGACAACTGAGCAAAGCTTCCGGATCGCAGGCCCTGGTTCTCGTGGGGGACTTGAATCCCCCTGACGTCTGTTGGGAGACCAACACGGCAGCACACGGGCAATCCAGGAAGTGTTTGGAGAATGTTGGGGAGAACTTCTTGGTACAAGGGCTGAAGGATCCGACCAGGGGCCGTGCGCAGCTTCACCTTCTGCTCACAAACAGGGAGGAACTAGTAGGGGAAGTGGAGGTGGGTGACAGCCTGGGCACCAGTGATCATGAGATGGTCGATTTCAGGGTCCTGACCAAAGGAAGAAAGGAAAGTAGCAAAATACACACCCTGGACTTCAGAAGAGCAGCCTGTGACTCCCTCAGAGACCTGATGGGCAGGATCCCCTGGGACGTCACATGAAGGGGAAAGGAGTCCAGGGGAGCTGGCAGGATTTTAAAGCCTTATTGAAGGCACAGGAAGAAGCCATCCCGACGCGCAGCGAGAAAAGCAAAGATGGTAGGAGACGGGACTGGCTTACAGGGGACATCCTTGGGGAGCTTAAACACAAAAAGGAAGCTGGCAAGAAGTGGAAACTTGGCCTGACGACGAGGGAGAGTAGAAATCTGTTGCTCAGGGGAGTTGTCAGGAAGGCGAAAGCGCCAGTGGGATTGCAGCTGGCAAGGGATGTGAAGGGGAACAAGAAAGGTTTCTACAGGCGTGTTCGCAGTAACAGGGCACTCAGAGTGTGGGACCCCTACTGGATGAGGGAGGTAACTTAGGGTACGTCTACACTACATGGCTCCATCTACGGAGCCATGTAGATTTGTTTGTTTGGCAAAGGGAAATGAAGCCACGATTTAAATAATCGCAGCTTCATTTACATTTAAATGGCTGATCAGCTGTTTGTCAGCTCAGCGCGCTAGTCTGGACGCTCCCGCGCCGACCTGAAAGCCCTTTATCGACCTTCCCGGTAAACCTCATCCTGTCTTTGCCTCTCTATTCACGGACAAGGTCGGCTCCCAGACTACTATGTGGCAGGGACCCGGTAGTTCGAAATAAAGCCCCTAAATCGAACTCCTGTGAAACCCCCTTCCTGGAGGAACAACAGGGAGTTGGAACTAGGGCTTTATTTCGAACTACGGGGTCCCTGCCGCGTGTAGATGTGGGCCCTTAGTCCGGACTTGTCAGTTTCAAAAATGGCGACCGGCTGGGAAGATGCAAATCAAGCTCGGGATATTTAAATCCTGGGCTTGATTTGCAACTTGGAATGCTGACATTAGCCTCCCTAGTTCCAACTAGGGGGCTAGTGTAGACATACCTGGAAGGAGGCGGGCAGCCCTTGGTGGGGAAAGAATAAGTTAGGAACTATTTAGAAAAGCTAAACGTACACAGATCCCTGGGTCTGGATTTAATGCATCCGAGGGTACTGAGGGAGTTGGCAAGTGTCATTGCGGAGCCTTTGGCTATTATCTTTGAAAACTCGTGGAGATCGGGAGAAATCCCGGGTGACTGGAAAAAGGCAAATGTAGGGCTCATCTTCAAAAAAGGGAAGAAGGACGATCCAGGGAACTACGGACCGGTCAGCCGTCCTCAGTCCCCAGAAAAATCACAGAGGGGATCCTCAAGGAATCTACTTTGAAGTACTTGGAAGAGGGGAAGGTGATCAGCAGGGCTCGGCAAATAATAGGGTGAGTAGATTGTAACCTGGAAGAGCCGGGTTCGGGCAATCGGTGCGTGCGCAGAACGATCTGCACATGCCGCCAGACAGCGCAGCTGGTGAGCGGGGCTTGCCGCGGTCCGGCGAGCCCTGGTGATCAGGAATAGTCACATGGATTCACCAAGGGCAAGTCGTGCCTGACCAATCCGATTAGCTTCTATGAGGAGGTAACTGGCTCTGTGGACGTGGGGAAGGCGGTGGATGTGATAGACCTTGACTTTAGCAAGGCTTTTGATACGTCCGCCCACAATATTCTTGCCAGCAAGTTAAGGGAATGTGGATGGATAAATGGACGGTAAGATGGACAGAGAACTGGCTGGAAGGTCGGGCCAATGGGTCGTGATCAACAGCTCGATGGCAGGATGGCGGTCGGTTTCTAGCCGAGTGCCCCAAGGTTCGGTTCTAGGGCCGGTTTTGTTCAATATGTTTATGAATGACCTGGAGGAGGGGATGGGTTGCACACTCAGCAAGTTTGCGATGACACTAAGCTGGGGGAGAGGTGGATACGCCGGAGGGCAGGGAAGGGTCCAGAGTGACCGGGACAGATTAGAGGGTTGGGCCACAAGAAATCTGATGAGGTTCCACAAGGACAAGTGCAGAGTCCTGCCCTCCACATCTTTCTTGAAATGTGGCGCCCAGAACTGGACACAGTACTCCAGCTGAGGCCTAACTAGTGCAGAGTAGAGCGGCAGAATGACTTCACGAGTTTTGCTTACAACACACCTGTTGATACAACCTAGAATCATATTTGCTTTTTTTGCAACAGCATCACACTGTTGACTCATATTCAACTTGTGGTCCACTATGACCCCTCTGTTCTGTAATGTGATTTGTCCTTTTCATGTGTGTTCATTTTTTTTAAATTGTATCCTTTGGTATATATGGTTGTGACTATTTTCTTCCACTATTTGATCTGAGGAAGTGGGTCTGGCCCACGAAAGCTCATCATCTAATAAACCATCTTGTTAGTCTTTAAAGTGCTACATAGTCCTGTCTTTTGTTTCAGCTACACCAGACTAACACGGCTGCATTTCTACCACTATTGTACAGGACTGGTGAGCTGACACTGCGCTTGGCATGCGCATGCTGCTTGTTTGGGATTGTCAGTCAGCGGAGGAGAAGGACGTGACTGTGGGAGGCTCTGTCAGTGGCCAGAGACCCCGCCAACGCGCAGGAAGATGCCCCTGAGCCCCAGGAACGGGGTGAAGGTGGGTGTGTAAATTCCCAGGGCTGCCCTAGGACCTGGCTAAGTGTCCCCCTGCAGTGTGGAAGGGAGAGAGACGTGTGCGGGTGACTCTCCCCCTCAGATCAAGGGGCCCACAGCCCCCCCAGGGCTCTGCAGAGCCACAGCCGTACACAGAACCCGGAGTCCCGGCCCCAGCCCATCCATGCTATTGAGCCAATTCACCATGAGCCCCTTCCCAGGCACCAGCTGGTATCTCTCCGCCATCTCCTGCTGGTCGGCCAGGAGCCGCTGGTAGCCCCCGGGCACCGAGTAGGTCCCCTCGCGGACCCGCTCCTCCAGCTCCTCCGACAGCTCCATGAGCACGGCCATGCACCGGTCCGAGGAGGCCTGCTCGTTCCGGCGGCACAGCTCCACGCGCCGGGAGTCCAGCGTGTCCTGCGAGAGAGGGGACATGGGAGCCGCTGGCCCCTAAGGTCCTGGGCCCACTCCCTGCCCCACGGAGCCACCCAGCCCCAGAGTGCACCGATGCCCCTGCAGGCCCCTGGCTCGTTCCAGGCTGGGGGAGGGGGTGCCCAGCCCTG